CACGCAAGCGGGTGCCGTGGTAATGAACAACATGCTTGTTAAAGCGAAAGTATAATCCTGTATCTGAAGCAAAATTACTAGCCTAAATATGCAGCGCAAGTTATATATTCGAACTCCAAACAATAAGCCACTAAACCAGCTTATAAAATCTTCTTCAAGGCTATGCTGGTTGCATCTGAGGTAGCCTACAGGTCATGGGGTTTCTCAGATTTCTCTTGAGACCAGTATAAGCATTAGCCTTGATAGACTTCGTGTATCCTTCATTGCGTATTTTTATATTTTTTGAATATATCCCTCCACTGCATATTGCAACCCTTTGTGCTTCGATCTGGAGGATATTGCGAGGTATTGCTTCAAAAAAGGTCTGTCAATCTGTCGTGCTGGTCGTGTTTGACCATTTGTTTGACGGGCGTAGTAACAATAACAAGGGGGTGTGGTTTTTGCGAATGGTCAATTCATGACCTAAATAGTCTTATGAGTAATAAGCATGTTAATACATAATATATATATATATATATATATATATATATATACATATTAACCAGTTTCACATAACAGTTTCACTGTTTCGGAATATTTTAAAAATAATAACGTCAACCCATGTGGTTTGACTAAAAAAAAAAATTCATTAGCAATATACAGAAAAATGCAGGATCAATGAGCCTTGATTGTGTGAATCTATTAATTTAACTTCGGTCAATGACTTATTTGAGCATGTTTTGAATTTCTGAATTCAAGTTAATTTTGATGATCTTTTATCAATATTTCTTACACAAAAAGCTTTTAGAAGTTCTGAAAAAAAAAAACAATGATTAAGATGTTTACACAGGCATTCTGGTGTAAGGAAGAAAATGTTAGTACTACTTCTAATTTATGGTTACACCACATGACTTTTTTAAAAACATTAAATTGAAACGTTTCATTTTTCAAAGCCATAGAAAACGAACATGAACACAAAAAAGTGAACTTCTAAGAACTCTACATGTGTTTTACACTAGATTTTTGGACACTCGTAAGCCATTGACCTAACACTGGATTATGGTTGAAGGCTAAGTGCAAACCGTAATCTACTTTTTGGGACATTCTGCAAATACAGACACAAAATATTTGATGTTTCAATAATGTCAAATACAGATGGACAAATCTCATCAACGATGAAACACATTCCCACCGTGTCACACTTTATGCATGACAACCCCTCTAAGTGCATTTGTGTGGGTGTACGGTGGTAATGATCAAGGGAAATTGATCTGTCAGCACAACATCTGTCCTGTTAAATCCTTTTTTCTTTAGGCCACATCCCCTCAAATTCAAATATGAGGATGTGAGACCAGTCTGCCGTGTTTCCGGATCAGTGGTGGTTCTATGGGTTACATCATATATTTATTGTTTTTGTCTTGCTCGGGCCCTCAGAGTCAGGGCAGGCTATCTCTAGCACAGATAATTAAAAGCCCAATAAGAGCTTAACTTCATATAAGGAGATTACATCAGAAAGATGACTCATGCCAACAGCCTGGGGGAGTGCATCATGTGACCCCAGGGCTCCTCCCATCTAGTCTCTCAAATGACACTGATGAGGTCCCAGAGCATCTCCAGAAGAACAGCCTTGTGTTTTCCTCTCATCATCAAAACAATGACATAAGAGCACGGCAAGCATCAATATTTATTTAGCATTATCAAATTTCCTCACTTAGAATTAAACTTTGTGAGCAATTAACCTTTCGGGATGTGATGATACCCGAAATCTAACATTTTAATATGGCTCACAATAAAACAGAAAAAACAATTGTAGACCACCTTATGCGCCAGAAAAACAAGAGCGCAGCTATCTTTAGAATATTGTCATTGAACTTCCGTTTTTGCGGTCGCTCTGTATATTTCTATGGCATCACTGTCGAAGAGTATTTAGCTGGTGAAGTGGATTTACTAATTGTAGAGTTAACTAAAGTTATCATGACCACTGTATGTTTGAAGCGGGTGTCATAAATGTCAGTAGAACAGTAGACCGGGAACGTTTTGAAAGGACCTTTAAGTCCACACACCCAAAACTTAATCAAAATCTGAAAATTTGCTTCCGCTCTGGAATGGCGTTCCATCTCTTACCCCTTTTCCACCAAAAAAGAACTGGTTCGGAACTGGTGCTGGTTCAAAGTTGGTTTGGAGTTGGTTGAACTTGCGAACCTTTTCAGAGCCTGTTTGTTTTTCCACTGAGGGAACGACGTCCTTATGTGTACGTCGCCATACGTCTTAGCTAGAAACGCTTGCAAGTACACAACATTACTTTGGGATTATCTCTAACTCATGTACCAAGAAGGCTTTAAAAACAATTGAAATATGTAAGTCTTTTAATCTTTTCCTTTGATATGTAATCTTTTCTGATTAGTAATGTACCCGTCTTGTGTCTTTTTTTCTTTCCATTTATTTGTTCTATATTGTGACTGTTTTCTTCTTTGCTTATAATGTTTTCAATAAAAAAAAAATAAATAAATAAATAGAAATGCCAACTTCAAGCGTAACAATTACAAAGGCAGACTCCATCGTATTTCTACAAATGTTTCACCTGGATTTGCGATCCTTTATTACGGTTCTAGTCCAGCAAAGAGTTGGTGCTGCATTGGAGCCAGTTTTCCTGGCCGAGAACCGGTTCTTTGTCTGTGTCGAAACACAAAGAACTGGTTCGCACGCAGGCACCGGCTCCGAACCGGCTCTTAAAATGCTTTGGTGGAAAAGGGGTATCTGATGTCGTCAGTTTTACTGCTTAGGTGAAATATTCTTAACCACTTCCTTCTAATCGTCAGTATGCTATGAGCAAGAGCATAAAGTATAGCGCAGAAGTAAACCCTACCCTCTGTTCAATATTCAATTTCAATTGGAAATACGTCACAAAAGTAAAGTCGGTTGCAAAGAGCTCAACTCTATGGTATCATTTGCAATGCTTCAATGGGCGGAGCTAAAGTGTCTAGCTTTTGTCTACTCTCCGATTGGTTGCATTTTCTGTTCAGCATCACGGATTTTCACCAGGAATTCCACTGTTAAACACCATTATTTAAAAAATAAGCTTAACTATTGTTGGCTGATGGCTTTAATATGCAAATATGGTCTAACAACCTGTAGCTCAAAGTAGGTCTGCCTTTGAAGGTTTCAAAGTTATTGTTCAAAACTAATTTCCTTATGGAGAAAATTAATGTAAAATTTTACTTCCAGAACCCACTTTTGGACTCTGCAGCTGTTTTTGTATGTAGTCTTATAAGCCAAGAGTTTATGCGGAATTTAAAATATTCACATTACTTTAAGAGATTTTCCTGTTAATATACAGTTCTCCATCAAACATGGACTTTCAAACCCATTAAAACATAAGGACTACAACCACAAAGATGAGAGTTTACATGCTTGACAAATCAGACAACTGTTAGTACGGACATATGTTTTGTAGAAACACAATTGCTTCAAAATTCACATTTGAGGTATGAAATCAATGTATGGAACCCTTAAAAGACATGGTATAGGAAAGAATATGAGATGGGAGCAAAAAAAATAAATAAATAAAATAAAACAATCAAAGCTTTTGCGTTCTCTTGCAAATGTTTTATCTTCTACCGAGAAACGTTTGTGTTCTTTACGAGCAAAGTTACTTGGGGAAACACAAAAGTTTTACGATATGAACACAAAGTTCTTCTGAGGAACACAAACCTATATTTTGTTTCCTGCCCATTCATATTTCTTCTATCCCCATGTCCCTTTAGGGGCTCTGTAGAAATGTAATTTATGTAGTAGCCTAAAATAATATGAGGAAGTCTCTCTAAGTAATGTTAACTACTGATTTTATTTTGCTAAACAAAACACTAAAAGCCCATAGAAAATTCCAGAGGGAATATATTGTAAATTAGGGCACATCCCAATACCCACACTTGTGGTCTTCTTAGCCACTTGAAAGCATGAGCATGGCACACCACAGGAAGAAAGTGTGCAAGACTGTCTGAAAAACACCACTGCTCAGTCCCCTTAACACACACTAAATCCATTCCACTACCTCTCAGCACGGTATTTGAGGCTATGCACGTCCCATCATTCACCATGTGGACACTTTCCAGGACAAGTTAAATTAATTATAAGTTACAATATAATTTGGCAGAAAATTGTAGTGTTGCTCATAAATAAATAAACCTCAAATACTAACCTAACAGGGAAAATTTTGCATAATTACTATAATGGATTTGTTAAATTAATAACTGAATTAATTTATGCACATAAGCATTGCAAATTAGCCATACAGTACATTTATGTCAAATGACTTCTGAAGAACAGTGATAACACACTTCATAACTGTAATGTATCTGTGATTCCTTGTTGCATGATGCAATCATCGACTGTAAAAAATAGGATGTAATACACAATACAGGTTAATTACATCATTTACAGTTACCGCCCAAACTCGCTGATTGGATCATTCTAGACTCGTGCAGCAGGTGGATTGCCAAGAAATTCATCCCAACACACTACACAGTCCCATAAGGATTTAAAAAAGGATAAATCCAAATCAATGCGATTCTTTCGAATCCTTCTACTATCCTATATACGCTTTAACACAGTGCACAAAGTAGCCTACATGACTGATTATAATATTAGCTCAGATAATCCTGTCGTCTTAACGGACAGGTTCCATTGTCAAAGCCAATGGGGTAGCCTAGCAAATTAGCTCATAACAAACAGTCCCTATAAACTGTATTATAAGAATACCTGTGTGTTAGCAGGCAAGCAAACTAAACAACACATTGCCTTTCACATACTGTTACAGAAACATAAGCAACAGTGCTGATCAATGAATGAGCACGGGAGAATTCAAACAGGTCCACAGATGCACCTGCCACCGACACTACACCACACCACTGACCATAAAAGTAGAATGCAAATCAGAAATATGCACAAAACCCAAGCTATTTATTACATAACAGTTTGTATTTTGTGTACGGTTATTACATAACACTTGAACGCGGTCTTACCTGCGCTGCCAAAGAAAAGAAGCACCAAGATTATCGCCTTGGTCGGAAACATTTCAATCCCTTTATGAAACACAGTGTGTTTACTGTTTATTATTGTCTTCCGAATCTTGAAATGAAGAATTCTTAATCCGTAAAATTAAGCCTGTGAATTTCCCACGAAGTTTTCTGGAATGGGACGCGAATATCTACGAGGATTCAGACCGTTGGACAGTATTGATATTTGTGCGGTTTAACTTCGCGTGCCCATATGTCGTGCACTGAGAATGAGAGACAAGTGCGCGTGCACACGCAGCTTCAAGATGCACGCGAAATAATCCGCCCAATCAGAGGCGCCTCTGAGGAAAGACAACGATATCATCATATAATGCACTGAACCCAGCCTGGAAACTAAATACGACTACCACATACACCTGGACTGCCCAGAGAAATGAATGGGAGTGGGATCGATATATAAACAAATATTTTTCACAAACAGTAAGCTATTTCGGGTAAATTTAATAGTCACGTATATTTAAAGTGATAGTTCACGCACAAACGAAAATGTTGTGTCCATATAGCCTACTATCATGTGTTACTGTAGGCTATAATAGTCGTTATCGTGCGCATAATAAAGATATTATTCAGAATGTCAATTTCGGTCACAATTCACTGTTGATGCACTTAGTCCTTATAGGCTATTCTCTGCAACAAAATGATGGAGGAAAACGACAGTTAGCTAATTATTGGGATAACGGTTCTTTTAAGACACCTTTAGAAAGGATCTTTTTAATTTGGGAGACATCTTTTCTCGATAAATCGAAGTGTAGATAATGTGCAGGCGGTGCCCCATTTTGTCATTCTGGAAATAATGATCTCCCTCATGCATCAGTTCACTGATGTTTCCTTTATCTCTCTATATCCCGACCCATGCAGTGCTAAAGAGGAACTGCTTTTCACAGTGGCTTTTGAAATGGATCCATGGACTTTTAGAGAACAATGATCATTTTAAAGTGAAATACAAGTAGCCAATTTAAAGCCTTGCGAGAACTGCATATTGTCCTCATTCATTGCACATTTGCAATGATGATATTTGATTCCCCCAGTCACACACGCACAAGGCATAGGCTATTTACACAATTGAGGTATAGGCAAACGGTCACTTTCAGAGCATATAGGCTAAATATTCATATTTATTTCATATTTATAAATTCAAGATGTCATTTAATGTTATACTTTTATAATTATTATGTTTTTCCTATAGCTACTGCCTTTTTTGTGGTGTAAAGGCACCAACAGAAATAAAATATGGGAAAAGAGCAAACTGAAAGAGCGGGTTGAAACAAAATAGTAGTTCATCATCATTATCTCAATCTTCTTCATTTTGGCTATCATCACTATAGAACAATTTGAGTACAATTCCTGGACAATGTTACTTTGTTAGTAAAGATCTCTAAGGCTATCAGATTACTACCACGTGCAATCACATCATTAAAAGTGGGTGTCATTTGAGACATCTTGCATAGTATAGTGACCTTCTTTGTGGGATTTCTGTGCAATTGTGATTGTTTCTTTGTACACCATGCATAGAATTCAATAGGTGTACCCTTTCTGCTTCCCAAATTTTCCTCTGCCTCTTTCTGTCATCCGGTTTCTAGTAATAACCCTCAGAACTGTCACATGCAGTTCACATGCACAGCATATCTTTGGCTTGTATGTGATTGTATTTTGCAGTTACAGCCGAACAAGCATATATTACTGTTAGCAATAAACATTTTCACATAGGCAGTATGCATTGGCAATAAAATTACAATATTACATATTGAATACAGCAAAATAGCAAAATAAATAAAGTGGATGGTAGAGTACACTGTAAAAAATATTTTCATGATTTGTAATCACAACATTTTTTCTTTTGTCAAATCAACTTCAATTATTTATGTGGTTCAGATAACATAATATTTTGAGTTTCTAGTGATTGAATCAATTTCCTTCATTGTATTCACTCCTTTTTTCCTTTTCAATGAACTTAAAATTAAGGCAGCAAGGTTAGTTAATATTTTAAGTTAAACCAACATTTTTTTTTTACAGTGTAGAAAATAATGTAGCTTAACAAAACAAAAACACAATTGTAGTGGTTTAAAAACAATCAGTTTGGAAACTCTTATTTGTGTTTCCACAGAGGAGCTGGCAAGAGTTGTACAGATGGCACTAACAGCAAAAGGAAATGTGTTTCTGCCAAAGTTTTGTTTGATGAGTCCTCAAGTAGAATAGCTAGCTCACATTGAATGCTTGGGCAAGAAAATTAGTGTTGACAATAGCATTCATCAGTGTCACGCTTAATATGGCGGTTCCTACAGTGCTCATTTGTGTAGTGTGTGTGTGTGTGTGTGTGTGACAGTTATTCTAACACAAGTAGCCTATTCCTTCTCCTGTGAGAATTTTTCAAACATAAATCGTGCACTTGGCATGGAGAGAATGGGTGAAAACGCAGAATGATGAAATGTTTGTATCTGCTGACATCTGCTGGTCGATTAATATCATGATTAATATAGGCTACCCCAACACGGTCCTGCCATTTGGTACATTTTCATGTAGAGGGCAGGCTTGTAACGTATTTAGAAGTGAAGAAGTAAAAGTGGCGTAAAGTGTACGTGTATGGTGTCCCATACTTGAAATTTGTAGTCGAACAAGCACACACCTAGAAGTGAGTACTGAACACATTCACAGACACACATCGGATTGGATCCTTTACAAGAAAACAGGAAGAACTGAAAGATGGGCAACAATATTGATTTTAAATTTTGCTACAGATTCTCGTGTTCCAGATAAACAATCTGTCTTTAAGTATAGCCTGAACAGTGAAACAACACTTCCTCTTGGGTTGTGCTTGGCAGCATGTAAACGTTAATTACTTTAGTGTTAATTTTAAAAGATTGTAGCCTACAGTTTAACCTAACTATCACGAAATAAAGACAGCTTGCAATCCCTCAAATTAAATATGACAAATGTCATTGTTTTTCTTCCATTTCACTCCTCAGACTTTTAATATAGCCTAATGCATTTTGTTTGCCATTTTTGTTTAGCTCTCATAAACTCCTTTCTAGGATACACCCTCGTCACACACATTAGCATTTCAGACATGTACGTAATTTATGATAATCATAATTGGAGCTACTTTTAATTGTAAACAGTTTCCAGATTCTTTGGATTTCCTGTATGTTCTGAGCACAAATATCTTGCAGTCATTTTCATTTTCAAGCTAATAAATTCCCCTGTTTGTCGAGATAAACGCCTAATGTAATGATGTTTTCCGGAGAAGAATCGCCCCACTGTGACAAATGAGAGAGCTGAATTATTGCCATTGGATGTAGCTGCAATACGACTGTCTAATAAAAAAAAATGGACCAAACAACAGAATCCATTACATGCCTCTAAATGCCTTGATTCAAAAAAGCAAATTGGAATAAACAATTTTAGTTTGATTATAGTTTTTTATAAAGCAAATTAAAGTCTGAAGTGTGGGCTGGTTGATAATAGAAAGTTACATAAAAGGCTTGTGATTCTTAGTTTGGATGTATATACAATAGACACAGTTTTCCATGACAAAGGGTTTAACGCATGCACACAAACAATGTTAACAATTTATCTGCGTTTGGACAATCATGGCGTTTCATTACAATCCAGGATGATACTAAAAGGTGAGGTTCTTTTAGGCCAGATGTTCTTATTGGGATTAGGCCTAATCTATAGCATTGATAGTAAATGTTTTTTTGTTTTTGATTAGTTTGATTTGATTAGTCCTGCCCATTTTTAGCGGAAGGAAAAACATGCTGCTTTCGTGCATGTATCTTTAAATGCAAATTAATGGTTGCTCATCACCCTGATTTCGAGGAGAGGGCGGAGCCTTTACCTATTTATCTCTGTTGCGTCAAGCTCACATGACATTGCTGTCCTTTATCATCATGAAAGATTATTATCTGCATGCATTTTAAAGCCATATCAGTATGAGCGCACACATCTGAAGCGCACGCAGAAAGCTGGATGTCAGATGGCGGGTCCCATAAGTTTTACGTCTTATTGCACTTAAACTGTCAAATATATACACGAATGTCAAAAACACACAAAGTTCACATAAACACAGGCGGGTATATCTCTGTGAAAGTAAACAGTAAGTCAAGAAATCACACGATGTGTGTGTGTATTAAAGTGAAAGCAGCGTAATACATACAGTACTTCTATTGGCTATATTCTGTTGTTCTGTTAATGCAGGAGATCAGCAGGAAAAAAAAAAAACAGCTGTTGCAACAACATGCGTTTTTTCCAAGCGTTACCAGCCTAGCGGTTTCTACGTGTTTTTAGGCGCTATGTGATATCCACAATAAAGGCTAGATGTCCTAGTCGGCGGCCATCTTGTCACAGGCAAGCTGATGTAAGATGAGTGATCAGCACGAACACAAATACTCTTATCTCGTTTAAATCTTGATGGATTTACAAACGGTTTGGTTTCTTACAAACGTTATTAACGTGGCTATAATTCTGGATCATAAACAGTAAGCAGTGTCATAACTACATCTCTGATGTTTATAACAAACCAAACCATTTGAAAATCGGTAGAAAATTGAGCAAGTTATGGCTATTTAAAAAGTACATGCACCATTAAAACACAGTCTTACGAGTGAGCGAGCTGCCTGTGACAAGATGGCCGCCAGGTGAAGACGTCGACCTCCATTGGCCAGGATATCTAGCCTTTATTGGGGATATCTATGGCTATATGAACCGAGGCGTCAGTTTGAGCCTAAATTGCAGTTTGATACTGCAATTACATTGAATCGTTTTTCTTCAGACTGTTGCCTTGTCACTGCTAGAACAAGCCCAACATATAAGTTGCTCACCGTAGAAACCCAGATAGCAAACTGACATTGAATCAACGTGGAAATATGACATCGAAACAACGTTGATCTGACATTGTTTTGCTCATCTAATTAACGTTGAACCAACGTCAGACGCGTCATTCTTTCAAAACTAACGGAAAATCAACGTGTTTCAAAAATGTTTCAACGTTATGAAAGCAAACAAATTTTCGATTTTCATTTAGCTTTGAAGAATGCCGCGTCTGACGTTGGTTCAACGTTAATTCGATGAGCAAAATCAACGTTGTTTCAATGTCATGAGAGACGTCGTTTCCAATTCCACGTTGATTCAATGTCAGTTTGCTGTCTGGGAAAGCACTTAAAAGTTATGTTTTGCTTTATTATTAATTATCCTCTCTTACTGTTATGTGAAATAATGACATTACAAAGTGTCAATGTGAA